GGGGGGGGGGGGGCAAATTCTTTCCCTGCCCCCCCCCCCGATATATAGTTAAAAAAGGCACTGGTGCCGGGTATTTCTATACATGACATATTTGTAAACATGAAAATTATCGTCGCCATTTTGAAATTTCTAATTATTACAGTGGTAGATGCCATAAAATTTATCGCAGATGCGATAATGTACTCAGAAACATAGATTTTATTTAGAAATTTCAAAATGGCGACGATAATTTTCATGTTTACAAATACTTCTGGCATGTTTTTTGTGCTGGGCAGAAGAGTCTGTTTTGGTTTGGTGCTGGGCGGTATTATTAAGTGCCGCCCGCCAGTCGCCCACCGTCACACCGTGGGCAGAACCCTGAGGGTCAGATGAATTTGGAACTGTACTCAAATTCATCTGGGTTCTCCTTCAAGCGTTCACATGGGCCGCATGAAATCGGACAAATTCCACCACAGTTAACTGTACAAATTCAAGAACAAATATTAAAACTAGGTCTCGTTTTGGACCAGAATTAATGGCTCCTAAATTAGATGGTGCCATGTGGACTGTGGATATGTTCTTTTCAAAACCAATTTTGCATGATAGAGGATTGAGACCATCTGTGTATGCATATGTAAATAATTCTGGGCAAGGCCGGCGAGAGCCAACCACGGGCCCCGGGACAAAATAACGATTGGTGAACACGGGCCCCCTGTCCCTCTCAACTCTCCCGCTGGCTTTTTTAATCGCAATCAACGAGAGAATTGCCAGCGAATTACTTGCAAGAGATCAAGGCATAACTGATAAAAACGCAATGTGAACGATGTTCAGCTAACTGTTTTTGCTGAGAAAACGATCGAAAAATCATTTATTTCACATTTGGTATGTTTTATGATCGATGATGACAATCAGCGGATAGTGTGCAAGTAGGCGTATTTCATTTAGGACAAACGTAAAGCGATGATAAACAATACGAACATTTCACAGAGATTTCCGGGCCCCTCTGAGCACTCCGGGCCCCTGGTATTTTACCCCCCCACCCCCCCTCTCACTGGCCTTGCTTCTGGGACTACAATTACTCTGGTCGTGTATGAACACTTTTCGTCTCGTAATGAACCTGGTTTTGTGTGAACATGGAGAACCAGACAAATTTGACAAGTTCGTTGTGAAGTTCATATTGGAATTCAAAAGCAAATTTGTAAACAAAGTCGCTGATTGGTCCCTGTAGTAAAATAAGCCAATCAAATGCGTTATTTACAAACTGGTTTGTGAATCTCTTCGCAACAAACTTGTAAACTTTGCAACAAAGTTCGGAACATTATACTTTACTTTACTGTCTATTACGCCAGATGATTTTACTCATCAATGGGAAAATGCTGGTGCTTAATGGGTTAACTGGCCTATCTGCTTGTCTGTCTAGTTAAACCATTGAGTCGCATATAAAGACATAGTAAAATAATAAAATGCAATATAGGGTGCAATTTATTATGTTACTCTGTCTAACGCCAGACAATCATAGCTAAGGGGTTATAATTAATATCAACCTACTGATAGCCACAACTTTGTCAATATTTTATTACTATCAAACGTAAATATATCATAAAACACAGTCGTTTACTTGCTTTCCTGAGTTGCCACGAGGTTTGTCGAGGTTCTTTAAATTTTGGCTCAACTACAAAATTCACTAAAATGAATCGAATTTAAAGTTTTCTGCACTTCATTTGTTGATCAGAAAGTATAAAATCCTGCCACGACCACTGATTTCAATTCCAATCCACCGACCACTGTCGACTCACTCGTATTTTATAAAGTTTCTTTAAAAGTCCTATTCGGCGCCATTTTTGCGCCAGCGAAAAAGAAACGAGCCCACAGTATACATGGATGGCGGTAAGGAGTGCTGACGTACTTCATCTTGCAATACATACCATTGCGCAAATTGTTTACATGATTGGATTGTAACATAGACAATCCAGAAGACAATCCTTTGTCTTCTGGATTGTCTATGATTGTAATAACGGCAATTGCTAGATAGTATACTTCAAAACAAGGTTTCCGTTTTTATATCAATTTTTAAAATAAGTTAGGGTTAGGTTAGGGTTTAGGTTAGGGTTAGGTTAAGGTTAGGGTGAGGGATAGTATTAGGGTTTAGTTTTGAGTTAGGATAGTTTTTTCTACGTTATAAAAACGGAAACCTTATTTTGAAGTATACTATCTAGCGATCACCATGGTGGAACCTGGCTAAGGCGCCCTGGTTAGTATACCTTCAATACAATCACGTTTGAGCTGCAATAAAGGATGGTTAGCACATACCCCCTAACTTTACTAACCTAATCCAACAATACAACAACGAATATGCAATAATATAAAAACATCGCTTATATATACAACTATGAATATAAAAATACAAATATACAAACACACAGTACAAAATGTACATTGACTGAGAGTCATTGACTGAGATGTCAATACTTAAAAAAAAGTTATATTCACAATATATACAAAACAATGGCTTCATGCAGTAAGTACTATCGCGCAGCAGATGGCACAGAATCAACTATAGCAGTTATCAGACCGGGAAAATAATGCAAATTCCTTTCATTTTATGTGATAGTCTTGTCTTGGTAGCAAAACATAGAAATGAAATATTTATTTTAACTTATTTTAACATCTGCTGCCCTATGACACTTACTGAAACCCACCAATGAACGTACATTCGCATATAAGCAGAATACAGCTATTTCAATTAAAGTTGTCCCCCGAGCAAAGCGGAAAAGTCGAATACGAGCGCGAAAGGCTGCTGGAAATCGCTAATAAATGAATGAATTTATTAGCGATTCCCAGCAGCCTTTCGCGCTCGTATTCGACTTTTGCGCTTTGCTCGGGGGACAACCTTAATTAATTGAAATAGCTGTATACACAATAATATATACACAAGAAACGATAACCACTGACCAGTCTACAGCAAGCTCTACTCCGGTAGCTGTGTAACCAAGGCAACGCCACGTGTGACCCAGTACTGCGAGGGATGTGCGGATGGCAGGTGGATGGCCAGGATAAACGAGTTGCCTCGTACGGGCGTAGAGTAGACAGGGCATTCATAGGGTATCAAGTTCGTATCGGGACTATAGCCCTCTGTGCTCTGGAAATAAATATGGTGAGTTCAAATGAGATTTTCAGTTGAACCTCTAAAGGGCTGTCTATATGGAAGCCGGGCTAGCCCGGTTAACGCGACAGCCCGGTAAGCGAGATCGAACGTGTAGGTAATTCTACATATAGTTATATTAGATAATATTAGATAATATATATAGAAGACCTCTATATAATTGAGTCATCAGTATCAAGATGAAGCCCACGAGCTTGAATCGACGAAGAAGTCATTCTTCTACAAGGCTGTGTTGTTTTTAACAGTTAAGAGTTTTAATCATTGGTTGAGGGACAATGCTAATCTTTTAGTGTTATTGGTTCTTCTCATCGATATGAACTTATCTACTCTCAACATATTTTATATATTTGTAGTAACTGTAGATTAAAGTGACTTTTATATTCTTGTATTAGTTTTAGTGCAAGTTTCCTATTGATAACAGTGTCTCTTAGGCGCTGAAAGGGTCACCCTGCTTAAATAAAGGTTATATCATATCATCAAGATGCATCGATCGATGCATCAATCCCGAAAACGGGACCCTATAGCCAAGGCTGAGTACTTTCCGGAAAGGTCTATTGTCTAGATCAGATAAGGAATAATTAAGGTCAGCATTCATAAACAGCTAAACATGAATCTATAGCTTGTATTCGTTGAAACCAATCTCAGTATGCGCAAGCACAGGGGGCTCCGGTGGCCCAGTCACAGAATAGGAAGTTATACCAGAAGCGTAACTCGAGCAAATATTTGTCCGCCTTTTTACAAGCGATCGTCATCAATCACGCCATCCTGGCTAGTACAACCGGCACTTTGTACCTACCAAATCCTGATAAAAACTTCCGGCTGTACTAGCCAGGATGGCGCGGCCTGACGTGAGCGAGTTAAAATTTTCGTGGACGTCAAACAATAAGGGAA